AGAACAGGGGGGGGGGGGGAGAGACGACGCTGGCAGCAGCGGGAAGGCCCCTTTGGGTCTAGGCTGGACTGTCAGATTTTTTTTTTTGCGCAAAAAAAAAAAAATGAGAGCGAGAGCGAGCGGGAGAGAGAGAAGTGCAGAGAAAGACACCAGTGTACTTCTGCACACGCAACAACTATCTCCCCCTGTAGGCCATGAGAGAAGCCGGCGACAGGGTGGTGGCCACAGACAGGGTCGTAGAAGGGTTGGTGGGTGGTCGCGCTGCGGTCAGTAGGGCAGGTTAGCTGTGTAGCCTTTGAAATGATCAGTCGTCTAGCTGCCTCAACTAGTCTATTTTCGGTATATTGTAAATGATCAGTCCAGAGAGGGCAAAATGATCAGTGAAGTACCCATAGCTGGTATTTGTACTTCTGTACTTCTCTGTTCTCGGTCCCCCCCCGAAATGTGCCCTGCCAACTCTCTAGAGCTCCTGTGTTTTTCAAACAACAAGCACATCCACCAGCACACACCTGTACCTCGTGGTTTCCTAGGTTCGGGCGAGGGTGGTATGTGTGGCGCTACGAGTGTGGATGTGTTGCTGGTATGGTTTACTCGTCTACAGCAGTAGTAGTGTTGTTGTAGCGTTCGTTGTAGCTGTTGACACAATGACTGCTGGATCTTCGGAACGATTTTCAAATTGTTGGGAACCACGATATCCTCGATATCTGGGCTTCGGCAGGGACTGCAATACCCCTCCCTTTTGCTGTCCTCTGCTCTTTGCAGCAGTGGCTTCCTACGTTCGGGCGAGTGTATGTGTGGTGCTGCGAAAGAACACATATGTATGTATGTATGTACTGTATGCACACACGCGTTCATTGACATGTGCATACGTTGAGAGATTCATGATTTGGCATTGATTGGCCCCATTCCCATTCCCGAGACCTTGACATTACCCGCTGTCACTGAAGTCTCTTCATTGGTCAGCCGGTTTCTAATAATCTAGACACACCTACCTATGGACTTGCCAATACACGGCGCGAAGGGCTGCAGGGCGGGAACTCCACGACTTGCCACTACACCAGCATTTGCAAATGATCAATCAATGATCAGTGAGAACGCCTGAAGACTCAAAAGGGTTAAAAGCGCGATTTCGCTGCTTCCCCGAGACGTCTTGGAGATGGTGGTGCGGGGCAGGCGTGTGAGGGTGGTCTTGGCGTAATGAGGGTGCGGAAGAAGGCCACGGCATATAGTGCAGGTGGCCTGAAATGAATCAGCGTGGTGGTGACTTGTCATTTCTGTGCACCTCAACACACAAGATTTGTCGATTTCCCACCACCACACTTTGAGGAAAAAAAAGAAAAGTCAAAACCAACCTGAAGCCGTGTGGGTTGGGTGGGAACCTACTGGCAAGCAGTGTAGGCTGTATATTCAGCAGGGCGACCACTACTGCTACCGCTGCTTGCGTTGCTCCTAGGGCAAAAAAAATGGAAAATGCTTGTGAAACATCACGAAACACACAATACATTCGAACCGCGCACACCGCGCTGTGTCTTTGCGATGCACGTGCGCTAAATCTACGCGGGCACCTGCATGTTGAACTCGCTTTCCCCGTGTCGAGACATCCAGATAGGTCGCGGCTTGAGGTGCAGGTTCAGACAAAGAAGCGTTATCCTCCCGGGGATGTAACCGCTGATTAGGTTCGTCACCATCTGAATTAATATTGTCGGCACCGAGGACAAGCACGGGGGGCGGGGTGAGCGAGACCAGTTGAACGGCAGGTGCCGCGCGACGTTTTCTACTTAATACCTTCGGTTCGTTGTCGACAACAAGTGGGCCGAATTACAGTAGAAGGGAATATAAACCCGGTAGACTGTCATGCCGTCGACGCGATGTATTGCTTGTTTCGGCCGCACAAGCACAAAAGAATAACGCAGCAACAAAGAAGAAATCTCGGCGGCAGTGACGTGGAAGAAGCAAAGTATCCATAAATAAAAATAGCGAAAAACAAACGGTAAACAAAAAAAAAATCACCACACAGAGAGACTTGCCTGGCTTCCCGCGTCGATGAGCTTGATGAAACTGTCGCCCTCTTCAGCGTCCAGCGGCTGCCGCCGTCGCCGGGTGGCGTTGTGAGTGGTTTGGCGTTGCGAGGAGATGCAAAGCCGCGAATGCGCCAGCACCCGAGTAGTTGTAAAGGCAAGAAGAGAGGAACGTCATCCACGACGAGACGAGCACAGAAGGGGTCCCGGGTGTTTTTTTTTTGCAACAAAGATGGTGGTTGTAGGGTTCTGTGAGAGGCATGGAACCACGCGGGTACTGCGGTGGGCGAGAGAGAGGGAGAGAGAGAAATAGCAATGGATAAAAGAGGCACCGCAGAAACAAAACGACTACACCAGGAAGGCAAAAGGCCTAACACACGACAAGACATTACGAACGCATCCGCAGCAGTGGTGGGTAGTTGGTGTCGCGCAACAAATATCCGTCCGCTGCAAAGCACAACGACAGCAGCAGCAGCAGCAGCAGCAGCAGCAGCCACCTCATAGATCCGTTCGTATCGCTCGATCCGGCTCCTGACGTCCCGCTCCACCTCCTCCACGGTCTTCTGCACGTACTCTGGGGAGGACTCCTGTATCGCCACGATGTTCCGCCGCACCAGCTCCTCGTCCTTGCAGATGCTCTCGATGAACACCACCTACATGTTGGTGACAAAAAACGGTAACCGGCCAACACCGCTTCAACAGCAGCATGCACCCTCGCTGCTGCCACTTTCGCAAGTGGACGCATCTTCTCCGACTCGTTCAGCACGCGCACACACAAGTGGGAGCTTTTTTTTTTTTTTTTTGAATGCAATCGCTCTGTCCCGGCGTTGTAGGGATGCGAGGTCGATGGTCTAACGACTACGGCATGCGCTTACATCAGTACCCCCTGCTCTCTCCCCTCACCTTTGCATGCAACCCCGACGCCGCCACCGTGTTATTAAGCACGCGCCTTCGCTCCGAGTTGATGTTGGACGCGTCGTAGATGGCGATGTCGATGTCGCTCTGCAGAGCCTCGAGGGCCTCGGCCAGCATCTCGGCGGCAAGACGTTCGCGGATCTTCTCGCCCTCTCCTCCTGACACATTTAGCGTTCTTGGTCGTTTAGTTCGGTCTTTCTGGTGCGTGCATGAATTCGTGAGCTATTTTTTTTTGTGTGTTGGATGTCTTCTGGCGCTTCCATGCGGTCACTTGCTGAATGATGTGTTGTACTTCATGGGGTGGTTTAGGTACGGATATGCACCCCACACCTCGTTCTAACGTGAGACAACACCTGTCCAAAGGATTACCCGTACCCTTTTACTCGTCTATTGAGGGAGGGCACCGTAAGGTTTTCAATGACAAAAAAAAACATAGGCCATTCGCTCTCTCTCTGCCTCCCCCCCTCCCCCCTCTCTCTCTGCCTCATGTGACATGCCATGAATCTGACCGCCGTGTAAACGTTTATAGTGAAAAACACATCTCCACGCATGTTCCTCTTAGGCGCGGGCCAGGGAATACGAGAATGAACGGAAACGCGGTCCTCGGAACATTAACATTCATATTTCGTAGATCTCGTAGATCTCGTAGATGTCGCAGATGTACATACGCACATACCTGCATCGAAGTAGTTCACAGGCTCGTACACGGCGATTTCCTTCCGCCTCCGGTCCTTGGTGCTGAAGATTCGGCTCTTTAGGCCCATCCAGTCAAGGTGCCGCAGGATGGACCTGGCAACGAAGGACTTGCCGCGACCCGGCAGCCCGACCATCGCCACGATCAACTACTTCATCCGTCGTCGACACCAACCAACATCAATGTCGTCGTTGTTGTCGTTGTCATCGTCGATACAAAACAATTTGTTAAAAGGGACAAAGAAGGGGGGGGGGGGGGGGGGGGGGTTCAAATGGTAATTTTAAATCTTTTTCAAAATTTTTTGAAAATTTGAAAAAACCCCGTATGCCCCCAAAAATGAGTGCTTGG